GGAAGTTCATTGAAAATGGAAAAATCAATAAAAACTGAAGAGGAGGATGTGCTCAGAGTACAAGAACCAACTACGTTTTGGATTTGTAATTTCTCAACAGAGCAGGTTTGATGACACAAGCACAAGTTGTCCTCTGAAGAAGGAATCCAAAAGTTAGATTTTGTTCCATCTTTCTCCGATGCTACAATCACTTCACAATAGAGCCATTCTCACTTCTCTGATCAACTAACACAAGCTGATTACGAATTGATTTTCGAGTTTCAGAAGCGAAAGCGAGTTTTCAAATGGAGACCCAAGTACGAAAAAGAATTTCATAATCATGACCGTTCTCGGGTGTCCAATCCGCTTCTAGTGAAGTACGATCTTTAATTTTACAAAAGTGTTTCAACAGTAGACAAAAGAAAAAATGCAACAATTCTGTACATGTGGCCCTAAAGAGGGCCGTTGGGTTAATGATAGNACTTTGCGATGGCGCTTAGCTCCTCCCTTTCCGAGTCCTTTTCCTCCTTTACCACGTCCAGACATGATTGCTGCTTCGGCTTTGCGAATTGACAACTTGAAATCACTACGCGTTATATATATGTTAGCGAGGTCACCTTGCCACAACCCACACCCCGGGCACAGCAAAACGCGCAGGCTCCGCCTTAATACTCCACAATGTCGTTCAGAAGAATAGTATGATCTGCTCATACATATTTTGTTCTACGAAAAAAGCACAAACAGGAAGCTAAAACCTTTACTGCAACAAAGTAGAGCGAAAACTATAAACACAGAAAATAAGTATTTGTGGCCCTAAAGAGGGCCGTTGGGTGGATTGAAGATCAAGCGCTTAAGCACGTTCTCCACGGATGCGTCTGGCCAATTGGATGTCCTTTGGCATGATGGTAACACGCTTGGCGTGGATGGCACACAAGTTGGTATCTTCGAAAAGACCGACAAGGTAAGCCTCAGCAGCCTCTTGAAGAGCCATGACAGCGGAAGATTGGAAACGGAGATCAGTCTTGAAATCCTGAGCAATTTCTCTTACCAAACGCTGGAATGGCAGTTTGCGGATGAGAAGCTCAGTGGATTTCTGGTAACGACGGATCTCACGAAGAGCGACAGTTCCTGGACGGTATCTGTGTGGCTTCTTGACTCCTCCAGTAGCTGGA